TTCTATTTTTCTTGTCCTCTTTGTTTATGACCATTTTACCAGTTCTCTGACTTTGGTTCCTGTCAGCATCCATGACAATCTTTCTTAACATTTCCACAAGGATTCCCTGTCTTGCCCTCCATCTCTCTTCACCTCTGTCTCTTCGATACAATTGATCTTCTCTTTCTGTCCCTCAATCTATGTGTGTCTATTTCTATCATCCCTTTTGTCTTTCTCTAGCTCAACTTTTGGGCAGATTTTTTTTGTTTTAATCTTCCTGTCTCTTGCTTTTGCTCATGTATCTTTTCTGTGGATAATTAAGGGTTATCTCTTTCTGTCCATTGTTTAGTAGAATAGCAATCTTAATCTGCTTTACACTTCCCATAACCTGGCTGTTCTGCCTGAAGAAAGGAGAGATTTTGTGCCATGGTGGGCGGGGGGGAAGGCAGCAGAAGTGGTAGGGGAGAGGGGCGCCTGGGTGGCTCAGTCAGTTAAGCGTTGAACTCTTGATTTCAGCTCAGGTCATGATCTCAGCGTTGTGAGATCGAGCCTGGCGTTGGGTGTAGAGCTTACTTAAAGATAAAGTTAAAAAAGAAAAAAGAATTTTTCTGTCTCTTAAGTGAGATGAGAGAATGAAAATTGGGTGGTTAAGAAATTACCCTAGGGGCAAATGGGTGGCTCAGTCGGTTAAGCACCTGACTCTTGGTTTCAGCTCAGGTCATGATCTCAGGTTTGTGAGATGGAGCCTGCTTAAGATTCTCTTTCTCTCCTCCATTGCCCCCACCTCTAAAAAAAAAAAGTGGCAGGCGAGAAAGGAGAGGACGAGCTTGCAAATGAATCCTAGTAGAGGGTCGGGTATTCCTTAATCCCTCTGCAGGCAAGTGAAAGCCTTCCCTCATCTACTTCTACCTTCATCCTTCCATGAAAGCCTGGACCTTGGAAAACGTTACACTTGGCACCCAGAATGGGTGTTAAAGTCCCTGCTATGGCTCTGGACTTCAGTACTGTCCTAAGAAGACAGACCTAGTCCCATGCTCATTTCTTTAAGAATCTGCACTTTCGGACGCCTGGGTGGCTCAGTCGTTAAGCGACTGCCTTTGGCTCACTCAGGTCATGATCCTGGCATCCCGGGATCGAGCCCCACATCGGGGTCCCTGCTCAGCGGGGAGTCTGCATCACCGTCTGACCCTCTCCCCTCTCATGCTCTCTCACTCTCGCTCCCTCAAATAAATAACAAAAAACCAAAATCATTTAAAAAAAAGAATCTGCATTTTCTTAGAAAAGGTCAGGAGATAGTAAGACAATTTAAAAGGCAGATGCTGGGCTTTTTAAAAATTTAAAAGGCAGTAGGACTAGCTGTAAGTACAAACACAGTAGTGTGGCTTTGAGGACCAGAAATAGCAGCAACTGTAGTGGTCCAGTTCTTCTGTTTCTTGGCCACTGCTACAGATAGCACCTGTTGTGGCCCCCTCCCCCTGCTAGAATTTGGTTGCAGGTGAGGCCTCTCTTCCCTCTGAACCCACCCCCTTCACATCAGATCTCTCTGGTCCTAATAGGACCTCACCTTTCTTCACCTGTTCCTGTGTTAAAAGTAGAGGATGTCGTTAGCAGTTTCACTTAGCTTCATGCCTCCTGCCACACCTTACTGGTAGCACTGGCCGTACCTCGAGTTAGTTTGCATCAGCAGTCATCTGATGATGGAATTCACTGAACAATAGCCCAGTTTCCCACCCATCCATGAACATCAGCATTTCTTCTCAGATCCTAGGAACGGGGGAGGGGTGTGAATGACTTGGAAGAGGGACTGAGATACTGAAAATTCAGTCCAGTCCTTACCCCAATGAAGGACTGTACACTGTAGACCACCATCTCCTTGTCCTGGCCCTACCTCCCCCAGGACTGGCAGAAGAGGAGCCTGAGGCCTCTCTCTAGTCTTTCAGGCTGAGAGTGGAATCATCCCTGGTGACAAGCTCACCATTACGACATCTCCTTGTGCCCCTGGTTTCCTTATGCCCAGGGATGGGTGGATGAGGCTGAGACCGCAGGACATCGCTGACCAAAATACGGACACCCAGTGTGATGCTTAGGGCACCCACAGTGACCAGCCCAGTTGCACCAAGGATGACCAGAGGCGGAGGCACCTGGTGTTGCTGTCGGATCAGCCACAGACTCATCCACCCCAGAGGCACCAGGCGGAAGAGGGCCAGGGTGGCCAGGGTGGCCCAGCTGGCCATGCGGAAGGCCAGGGATGGGGCCTGGTGAGAAAGCAGCAGCAACTGTCGTAGGTGCAGGCAGGCAGAGTTCAGCTCCAGGAGCAGAGACACCATAGAGAAGCCCACACAGTGGCTGGACAGAATGGCAGTGCTGAAGCAGCTCACTACCTGGGGAACCGGGGTCAGAGGTCAGAGGACCCTCCATAACCTCCCCCCCCATCATGTACCAATATCCCAGGCCTTAAGACAGGGGCTCCCAAGCATTTTGTGGCACCCTATCAAAAACCTGCCCTTTATACTTACCCTTATGTTGGGGCCTGAATGGCCTTAAAATAACCCTTCCACGGGATAGAAGCAGCCTTGGCCCAGAGGCTGTCTCCTCTGGGGCAGCAGCAGCATCTGCACACTTCCATTCCTGGGCTTTCATGCCCCATGCCCACTCCCTACACTGGGCCTCCCCTTTCTCAGAAAAGCTCCATATGCAACATTCCTGCAATCAGATGGGACACCTGAGGGAATCCAAGCTACTCAGGGAGTGCTCAGACTCCAGCTGCGGCTAGCAGTCAATCCTCTCCCCCTCAAACCAGCCCAAGGTTGGGGAGATCAAGCACCAACAGGGGTCAGAGGCTCTGGGAAGTCATTGGACAGAAACCTGTAGAGAAACTGGGGACCCCAGCCTGAGCATACCACCCTTCCTGTGTCTCCTTTCTCCAGGTCTCACCACCAAATGATGACACAGAAGTTCCCAGGCCTGGCGCAAGGTCTGGTTCCACAGCATGTCAACTCCATCCGCCAAGAAATAACCTATGGGCGTGGCACGAGGGGGAGGGGCATTAGGCCTCCCCTAAGTTGTACCTCCTGGAGAGGAATCTTCATCCCCTCCTTTTTCTGGGTCTTCAGTTTCCTCCAGCAAAGCTGCCAGAAACATTTGACCCCTATGGAGAGGGCAAAGGGGACGTGGGAAGTTACCATTGTTAGGTTGCTCCCCGACCAAATGGCCCGGCCTTCCCTGCAGACTCACCCACGGACACAGCCACCAGCACCAGGGCCCAGGGCGGGTGGCCGTGAATGGGGTCAGCAGCCATCTGAGGGTACAGCGACAGCCTGTAGGAGAGGGGGGACCACGGTCAGCATCGTGCAGACTCAGACCCCATTCTCCCGCTGTGCACATTCACCCACCCATTCACACCCCCACCCGGTGTCAGACTGTCGAGGTCCGGCTTCGATTTTGAAGGTGCCCGCCGGGTCTTTCAGTCTCAGCTTTCCACCCCTCACCCTCACCCCGGTGCCTCCCGAACCTCTATACCCCGCACCCGAGCAGCGCCCCAACCCCTGTGAGCAGGCTGTGCAGCAGGGAGACACAGATGTTCCGCCACTTCCAACGGTCATGGGCAGCAGATCCCGGCGCGGGCAGCAGCTGCAGCGCCCAGTGCAGCCCCCGGAAGGCGGCGAAGGAGGCGCCGGTCACAAGGAGCCCCCAGGACGCCATGGCCTGGCGGGCGGGCTAGGTCCGGTTCAGTCCCTTGGACCCCTGCGCTCTCAGCCGGGACTCATCCAGTGCCAGCTGCGGGGACTGTACGTTGGCTTCCGGACAAGTACCGGTCCTCGGCCTCCCTGGCCCACCGCGCCTCTGGCATCCGCTCTAACTTTTCCAGGGTTTGACCACGCCCCCATCACTCGGCTAGGTGGCGATTGGAGCAGTCGTGGGGCCACGCCCCGGAGCCCCCGCAGCCGATCGCGTCCGGCCCTAGCAGGGGCTGGAGGGTTGGGGGCTCCCGGGGGCCAAGCCTGGCGACCGAGCTCAGGGGCACTTCCAGCATGTCGATAGGGGTCTTCCCCAACGCCATGTGTCCCAAACCCCTCGGAGCTCCAGAAATAGGTTGCTAATCTCACCTGACACTCCCACAGGCCCCGCCCCATCGTCTTTCACCTCCTCTCGCCACGCTAACCTCTCACCTGCTGGTCGTCCTTCTGCCCACTGCACCCTCACCGACCTGAAGGTAGAGGCCAGCGCACACCCACTCGCACAAGCTTAAACATCGCCACCGCCCTGCCCCGCACCACCCCCCGTCTCAGCTGTGAGGGCACCTCACTTCTTTGGAGCCACCCTTTCCACCTCCCGAGGTTTCCAGACCTTTAGCACATCATAGCGACCCTATGATTCCAACAGTCCTGTTCCCTTACGCTGTACCTTCAAACAGAACAACAGCTCCCATTTTGGAGAGGCGACCCACTGGGGACTCCTCCCCCCAACCACTTTTGGGGGCCTACAGAAGAGCCTTGCTATTAGGAAGGGGAGGCAGAAGGAAACCACTCAACACAAGTCTTGAAAAGCACCCCTCCCCCCAGGGCTTGGTACGCGGTAGGTGAATAGAATTCTCTCTTCCAATCTGAGGCGGCAAGGAGAGGTCACACAGGGTCACCTCAAGGTTGGGGCAGAATCAGAGAATAACAAAGACTGATAGGATTCTAGGACCCTTCAGCCTGGAGAGGAAAATCTGCGCCCCTCCCCCTCCCCCATCTTCCAACTCCTGAAGAGTGACAGGTTTTTACTGTTTTCCTTGCTCCACTCCACACCTCTTTAGCGGGCTGAAAGCGGGCAGACCGCCGTTCCCGTACATGGAAAGGGTAGATTCCAGCTACTCCCAGAGAATGAAGTTGTCCACATTCTCACAACCCCTTTTCTTCACCAAAACCCCATTATGTCCAAAGGGCTAGGGGCACCCCTTGATTCCTCCACACCCACCTCTCCAAGCTTTTAAAAAAATTACACTGATTCTTTTAAATTTTATTACATGAAAACCATACACAATATAGAAAATTTTAAAGTTACAGAAAGGCCAAAGAGGAAAATTACAATGACTTTGTTCCACTGTCCACAGATAACTACTATTAACATTTTGTCTTTCTCATCTGTTTTATGTATACAAGAATATACCCATCTTTCTAAAAAACAAAATTGAGATCACATAATACACTATTTTTATAACCTTCTTAATATTCAAAGAGCATTTTTCTTTCCAGTCAAATGTTCTTCTACATGACTTTTAATGGCTGTGCAGTACTCCACCATCTGGATGGATATACAGTGATTTACTTAAGCAATCCCCCACTGCAAATTTTCATTACAGCAGAAAAGAAATGAATTCCCAATCAGACAGTTGCTTCTCATTTTCTCTATTGCAATACTGGGATGAGCATCTTGTGACTAAATCTTTAATTATTTTCTGAGGATAAATTCCCAAATGTAGAATTACTAGGTCAAAGGCGATGGAAACTTTTAGGGTATTTGAGACACATTACCAAACTGACATCCAGGAAGGCCGTATCAATTTGCACCCCCATATGCAATGTATGGGAGTGTTATTTTAGTATTTCTTTGCCAATACTGGGTCTTTCTTTTTTTTTTTTAAATATAGTTTGCTAAGGGAAAAATGCTTTCAGCTATATTTGTCTTTAATTACTAATGAAACACACTTTGTTTTTCATGGTTTTATCCATTTGAATTTCTTCTATGAATTTCCTGCGTATGTCCTTTCACAGCTGGTTCTTGCTCCTTGAAGCTGCTTTATATAAAAATTACAGGGTAGGGAGGTGGGAGAATGAAGCCACAGGACACTTTAATACAGTCTCGTATCTCTGAGGGAGGCAGTAAGTAACACTGGAGAGAAATAGTGAATGAGGCAGATGGCTGGGAGCTGGCTGTCCTCCCTCCTCCTGGGGTGCTCCTGCCCTTTATGGGTCCCCTCTGCGGGGTGCCCAGACAGGGCCCTGTGCTCTCCAGGCCTGGTCCTTCACTGGTCTTCTGCCTGCCTCTGTGTTCCCAGGCTGCTCTTCCTCATCTTTACTTCATGATGGGTGAGGATGGCAGAGCCACATACCCGGGGCTGGAGGGAGACACTGTGGCCAGTGAAGCGGGGAGGGGAAGAAAGGATGGAAGCAATGTCCAGGGACACAGCAATCTTTGTTGCAGACTATGAGTTGACTCAGTCTACCCACCCCCTCCACCGCAGTCCCAGACACATCCAGCTTAGGCTGCAGGAGGGTGGGTTCAACGATCTACTCTCCCCTAAATCTCTGTTTCTCATAAATGGAGACTAGGACCCTGCCATCTCCACACCTCCTGCTCCACAACAGGACAGCTTCCTACAGCTCCTGAATTTGGCCACCTTCAGGCAGGGAGACTGGGCCATGGTTGAACCACACCAGAGCCTGAGCCCCAAGAGTTACACTGCCTCAGGAGCTGGGGGGTGGTAGGTTTATACTGCTTGATGCCCTAAAGGGGGTCACATCCCATAACCCACCTCTCCTCGTTGCTGGAGAGAACTGTCCGCCTGCACAAGCCGGAGCAGGGTCTCACAAGTTATCCTGGAAGGTAAAGTGAGGGAAGAAACAGGAACAGCAGTTGCAACCCCATCAGGGGCTGCAGGCCTGTTTCGGGTGGCAGAGGAAGCCTGGGGCCACCTTTGCATGGTGGGATGTCAATGGAGAGACTGTGCTCCTCCCGGCCCCTTGCACTGGTCTAACCCTAGCCCGCCCCCCTTCTAACCCTCCCCCCACCCTCCTTGGGTTATGGTGTTCACAGATGGGGGGAGGGGCAATAGCTTATGTGAAAAGCTGTTTTGTTCCCACCCACAGGGAGAGGACAGCCCAGGCTCTGAGTAGTCTGTAGAAGTAGGCTTCTGATTCCCTTCTGCATACTCAACCGTGTGACTCCCCATCTCACAGGTGGAGAAGCTGAGACAAGAGGTCTAAGGGTCCCACACATAGGTGATTATCCCTCAATCTAGAGTCTAGGCCAGTCTAAGGAAATAGAGGAAGAGGTAAGAGCATGGGGATGACTACTCAGATGGGAGTTTCAGTATGACCTTTCTCCTGAAGAAGAAATTTACTGTGGACCTCACCTGGAAAGGCAGTAGGAAAAGAAAGGGAGACAAGGAAGGAGGGCCAAGAAAGACATCTGGGTAAAAGGGTAGACAGTTTTCTTTGCTTCTGTTACCCTCCTCTTGTCACACCAGTATAGACCAACTATCCTTGGCTGGTCACAGCCATCTATTCCCCAAACCAACCAGCGTCTCTAATCGAAAATTGTTCTTTTTTTGCTGGGCCAATCTGGCCGAAGGCTCTCCAACTGAACAAGGTCCCCTTCCCTCCCACTGTTTGGACCTTCCCAGCCCCAGTTCTGTCACCTTCCAGATGAAGGGGAAAGCAGCTCCTTCTCCTCTTCCTCCTCCTCCTTGAAGCCAGGGGCAGAGGGCAACAGTTCTTCAACTGGCAGCTTTAGCTGGGTCAGGACATAAAGCTTGCCACTGAAGAACTACTGCGGCTCAGCCAGGTGAGGATGTGGGAGGGACAGGCTCCTAAAAGGAAAAGGAAGAAAAAATGGGAAGGATCTGAGCAGGGCCATATCACAGGGACACTGTCCCACTGGCCATCAAAGTCCAGCTCCAGCAGATGCTCAACCTCGTAACAAAGCGTTCTTCACTCTGACCTGGGCCTGCAGGAGCGGTTACCTTCATTAAGAAGCAGGAGGCAGCTCTAAACATACTTCCTTGTGCCTCTTTCCAGAACTGAAGGCTGTAGGGACCCAGGTCTGCTCTCACCCCTCCTTGCCCCAGCTATGGATGGAGGGCCCAGCCTCTTCAGCATTCAGAGAGGGCTGGACTTAGAACCCTGGACACACTCCACTAGCCCAGGTACTAGGTGAGAAGTTGCACCTTAGGTCCAGAAATGGGAGTTCAGTGATCAGGGAGTTCAGCTGGAAGAGTTTTGGGGGGCCTACATCTGGGGAGGAGTGAGGCAGGGAGGAGGTCTAGAGTTTGGAAGGTCAGCAGAGCCTCCAGAGACTGTGAGGAGAGGACAGGGGACCAAAGGCTGGAGGGGAGGGAGGTATGGGCAGGGTGGATGGGCAGCTTCCCCAAGACTCTTAAATGCCAGGCATTCCGCTTGCGCATTCCGGGTACATCTGGTATGAATTCCAGGCTGTCTGCCGGCCCCTCCATGTCTGAACTTTGTTCCAAGTTCCAAGCCCCGCCCCCACAGTTCCAACGCATGAATCAGCAGGAAAAGCCGGGCCCTGCAGCATGGCCCAGGGAGGGGGCTGGGGGCGTGGCAGGCTTGAGGGCCGAGAGCTGGGGAGGGCGGGTCTGTGCTAACACTCAGTCCAAGGGCATGGCCCATGCCAGTGTGAGGAGCCAAAGGCAGTCTTGCCTTGAGACTTCTATACTCAGAGGGTAAGAAAGATTAGGGTGGGGGTGGGAGGTTTTCAAATTACAAAAACCCTCTTGGGGAGACATGAACTTTGTGGTATCTTCCTTTCCCCAGGTGACCAGTCCAATTCCTTCCCACTCTCCTCTGCCTGAGCCAGCTCTGTTCAGCCCATAGGACTCAACGGCTGCTCAGAGTCTGTGCCAGGCAGGTGCCCTTGGCTGCAGGGCGGGGTGGGCCCAGGGCACTGACCCTCTGACCAGCTGCTCCATCAACCCTTTGGCACCCTGACAATTCCTAGCCCAGTCTGACAGCCAGGATGACAGGCCAAATGATTTGGAGGCTGGAACTAGGGCCGGAGGGAGGTGGGGGCGATAGCCTAGCGAGAGGCCATAGGGAGGGGCCAAGAGTTGGCCGAGAGGTGGGGAGAGAGGGAGCCCAGTGATGACTAACCCAGGCGCCCCACCCAGCCAGCCGGCTTCCCAGGCAGTCAGGGCCAGGCCTGGGCTAGGGGCCCCACAACCGGACATGCTGGGGGGAGGTGCAGAGGTGACCTTCTCTGGGCCCAAGACGGCCAGTTAGGCTGGGGAGAGGGGGTTAGAGTTTCCAGGTCCTCCTCCAGCCCGCTTCCCCCACCAACCGCGGTGAAACCCTAACCTTTGGGTTGCATAAGGCCCCCGCACCGCCGCCCCCTACTCCTCTCCCCTCCCCCCTTACATAACATCCCCTGGAGGGAACGAGAGGAGGGGCCGACCCGCCCAGAGACCCCTTCCCTGCCAGGGCGCTCAGTTGGCCCGGACCAACTGACTGCCAGTAGAGGAAAACTACCTCCCCGCTACCCGCCCGGTCCAAATCCTCCCCAAGCTGGGAGGCCAGTTCTCGTATCCTCTGACCAGGAGGTGCCGAGGTTAGCTGCCCCCAGCCCTCTAGCCCCTCGTCTTCCTTCTAGCCACTCTGCAAAACCCTCCGCCACGACTGTCGTTCCGGACTCTTTCTTTAAACCTGCTGCCACACTACTCCAGCCAGTCCAGGCCCCCTCTCCCCAAAGGCTTCCCTGCCCCCGCCGCCCCCTTACCCCTCCCCCGGAAGGGCAGGGTGTGGCCACCAGGACCCTACTTTCCCCCATTACCCCATTAGCATGATTCCCTCCAGTGCGGCCGGGACCCCAGCTCACACCCACCTGGTGCTGGGTGGGGGGATTGCTGAGGGTAAGGGAGCAAATCAGTGCGTCCGTTCCCCACGGCCGGCGGCGCTGTGTCTTCCCTGCGCCCAGCACACACCGGCTCCAGTCCCCGATCAGCTGGCGGCGTCGTGACGCACAAGCTGCGATTGCACCGCCCAGGGCCAATCACCGCCCACTGCTGGGCAGCGTGACCACACCCACTCGGGGGCGCCAGCACTTCCCCCAGGTCCCGCCTCTCCGGGCGTCTTAGCTCTGATTGGCAAGGAGGCCACCCCTTTGCCTGGAGGAGCTGCGTTAGGCCACGCCCACCAACTCACGAGCTCGCCAATAGATGAAAGGGTGTGGCTGAGCCCTCCGCCTAAGGCCGCTTGCTTTGAGGAGCGCTACGTCAAACCAGAGTCCTAAAGAGCAGAAGGAAGTAAAGGCGTGTGTGTTTGCAGTGCACACTGGTCAGTGTAGTTCTCGGTCTGACACCTCGTTCCCAGAATCCAGCGCGCTCTGTGAGTTGGCATTTTTAAACTCATTTCTGAATCCATCCCGGCGAAGTCCTTAAAGGGCTACAGCCCCTCCTTTTGGGAGCCGTGAGTGCTTCTTTTAAGACTACCCCAAAACGGATTCGCTGACTTCTGCGCATTAGGCAATAGCTCTCTAGGGAAAGATGGAGCAGGCGAAGCAGCAGGAGTGGGTAGAACTGAAGGTGGAAATCAGCCTCCAGGGCAGCAGGCTCTTCCATTGGATGAGGACTCCTGAGGGTTTTGGGGGAAGGGAAAACTGCCCACCTCGCCTGGTGCTACCTTTCACTGGAGAGATCTAGTCCTCCTCTCCTGGCGGGCTCTTACTAACCAGGAGACTTTTCTTGTAGAGTATGTCTTGTCCCAGTCGTAGACAGAGCCTCTCAAGCAGCAGACTCCTAACAAAAGATTCATAGTACAGTCTTCACCTGAGGGTAGAAGCAAGACTTGTGGTTGGAAACTAGGGGATGGGTCGTGCCAAAATGTCAACTGGTAAGCAACCCCATCCTCTGCCTAATACCCCATTCTGTCCCGCCCTCCAGAAGCCTTTCACTGACTCAGGCCTACTTAGAAGGGATTTCAAAGGTAGAGACCAATGAGGAGGCTGCCCCTTCCCCAGGGGCCAATCAGAGCCTGGGGGGGCGGGGAATGGGCAAAACCGAGAGGAACCCAATGACTTGGCAAAAGCTGCTATACCGCTTATTTAAAGGGGCAAGTCTGGGACCGGCGGCAATTTATCCCCCACCCGCCCCCACCCCGCTCCCCAAAGACGAACGTGTGGACAGGGGGTCCATGACTTTTCCATGGGCTCCCAATTGAGAGTGAGGGCAACTGAGCCGGAAGGATGAGTCTGGGGTGTGAGATAGTTTCTCTGTATTAAATACGGGCTCCACCAAGTAATTGCTGTGGTTCCTAGGAGCTCCAGAATTTTGAGCCTGCGTTCAGAACATTGTGCCTTTAAGGAAACTTCCTGCCTTCCACCCCAGTAACAGCTGATTGTTGGAAAGTGTGACCTCAGGGGACGAATCAGCTGTTACCACATCCTCCTCCAGGTCTGCCCTCCTCCATCCCCTTATCCCCCCACCCCCAACCCGGCGCCTCCGCCCCAACCCTCTTGGGTCGTGAGGGAAGAAAGGAGATGGAACCCCAAATAGGGGGTACCTGCTCGTATGTTCGTTCCTCTTTCACTCCAAGATTGTCTCCCTCCTCCCTCTCGCCCCCCCCACCCCAGATCTGCTGGTTTGTTCTTCAGAGGTTCTGAGCTTGGAACGAGAGGTATTTCCTGTCTGCACAGTCAGCTCAGATCTGCCTTCGCAGGTCCAGAAGGAGGCCAGTATTGGGGAAGCCCAGAATGGTGGCTGGCTGTGTGTGTGGGTGCTCCAGGAATGGGTGCTGGGGAAGGTCCAGTGAAGCAGCAAACCAAACCTAGAGGAGAGGAATGGCTGTGGAAAGCAAGCCTCCTGGGGTCAGAACCCTGCTCCCCAGGCCATTTGCCCCCTACTCCCTACTCAAGTGGCCCTATTCCTTCCCAGACTGGGACCAGCTATTGGCTTTGCCCATTCACTCCACTTTTAACCTAGATGCCACCTGGCCCTTGTTTTATTTACATTCTCACCCTCCACAGCAAGGGTTCTAATGTGGATCTTCAAAGGACTGCAGGTGGAAGGCACTGATCCCAGGAACCAGGGGCTTTGACTGGGAAGTGCTGCAGGAAGACCCAGGTAAATATTTTACCCCAGCCCTGAGCTGGGGAGTCAGGGTCATTCCAGGACAAACTTAGTGTGAAGTCCCAGGACTGACTTGGCAAGGTTGGGAGAAACTGAGCAGGGCCTTGGCCAAGCTTGGAAGAAAGAGAAACCTCACCAGCTGCCCCCATTATCCATTATCCTTATCTTGGAAGTCCGATCCCCTTCCTACTCAAGGCCTTTGGGGTAGGCCCATCCCCACTTTGTTCTGCTAACTCTCCCTCCCCTCACCCTCCCACCCCATGGGGCAAAAGCACAGGCTTTGAGTCCAGGGTTTCTCAACTTCAGCACTATTGACATTTTGGGCTAGATAATTCCTAGTTGGGGGGCTGTTGTGTGTAGCATACTTAGCAGCATCCCTGGCCCACTAGATGAAATTAGCAACACCCCTACCCTGCAGTTAGGACAACCACAAGTGTCTCTGGACATTACCAGATGTCCCCTGGTAGCCAGAATCTCCCCTAGTTGAGAATTACTCAATTAGACAAACTTGGATTCAAATTCCAGCCCTTACCAGCTGTGAACTTGATGAAGATACTCAACATCTCTGCACCTCAATTTCCTCATCTACAAAAGAGTGAATAATAAATTCACGGTTTATTGTAGGTATTAAAAAAGGATTATATTTGGAAAAACACCCAGCACAATATCTGGCCCACAGTTGGTGCACTAAATGTTAGCTTCCTTCACTTTTCTCCCTGCCAGATCAGCAAGAGCTAACCTCACTCAGCCCTGGGCTGACTGCCTGGGCAGCTGCAGCTTCCCTCCCTGACCTCCAGGAAACTCAATATTGAAGTTGGCAAAAGGGAGTGGCTAATTTGGTCCCAGATTCCCCAAAGCTCAAGGGTGCTTGGGTTGGGATTCCAGGGAAATGTGGGAATTGAGCTGTTACAAATCATTACATCAAGATGTGGCCTGCAGGTGGCCTGCATCAGAATGAACTGGGGTACTTGTTAAAAATTCAGATTCCTGGGTCTCACCCCAGACTACTGAATCAGAAGTACATCATCAAGTTTGAAAACCACTGTTTTAGGCCTCGGATTGGAAAAGGAGTCAGTGCTCCAGAAATCTTAGTGCACCAGTGCCCAGCATTGTAAGGCCATCCTCTTCAAGGGAAGAAAAGAATCCTTAAGTTACGGTTAGTTACACTCAAGGTCATTGTTGTATTGCAACGGAACCACTAGAGGGCAGAGCACACACCGACTTCCAGGGAGAAAAAGCAGCGCCTGCTCAGTCTGGGTAAACAGACCAGAGCAAAGACCAGGTGGACCCAATTTTATTGTTCCTTAGCAGCAGGCACTACCTTTTATCAAAACCCGTTCTCTTGCCTTCAGGTACTCAGACCAAATTTGGGGATGGAGATTGTCAAGGAACCCATAATTCCTCAGGTGAAAAAAATAATACTGTATGGCCAAGGAGTACAGTGAACATTGGTTTTAGAATGAGATAGTCTGGGTTTGAATCTTGGCTCTACCACTTCTTACGTATGTGACCTTGGGCAAGTTACCTATGGGTGTCAGCTTCCTCATCCTAAGTGCTAATAAAAATATCTTCTTAAAAGGGCTGTGGTGGGGATTAAACAAAACAAGATACGCAAAGTGCTTAGCAGGGTGCCGGGCTCCTAATCAGTGCTCCAGGAGTGATGGTTGTAAGTTATTCCTGCCCAAGGCCACGTGACCAAGCACATCGGGGCTCCCGCTGCTTCAAGAAAGAGGATACAGATGGAATCAGATCACAGCCGAGCCATTTGTTTCTTCTGTAATTAGGATTGTAGTTTTTCTTGTCTTTATGGATCCCCCAAACCTCTACACCAAACTCCTCCACAAGGCAAAATCTCCTTCTAGGAGAGACTCAAAAAAAAAAAAAAAAAAAAAAACAAACCCAGCCGGTGTTTTACTACAATGGCCTGTCTGTCCTGCAAATGAGTCAGAACTGAGTTTTGGAGCCAGCTCTCCGGTTTCTGCTCCCTATCCTGTGCTGCATCCTCCCCCCACCCCCACCCCCGCCAAGGTAGCAACTGCAAGGCTCTGACACCTCAGAGTGAGATCTTCAACGGGAAGTCTTGGGGGGGAACATTTCCTCCCAGGAACTACAAGCATCTGGGCCTGGGACACTTCTCTCCCTCTCAGATCGCCCAGAATTTGAAAGAAAGTGAGCCCCAAGAGGGCTTGGGAGGGGGAGAGGCGCGGAGGGAGTACTCTAGGGCAGAAAGTTTGCGCACCAGCTTCTAGGTTTCCATTCTGCCACCGGGCAAGTCTCTTTGGTGGCTCCTGGTAATCAGTTGTAAAATATAAACAATACTAACTGTCTTTCCTACCTCAAGGGTTGTTGTAAAGACCAGATGGAATGTTATTGATGAAATGTATTGGAAAACTAAAGCTCCTTCACTTGGTAGGCAGCATGGAGGCGCTGAAGGGACTTAATGTCAAAAGCCCCAGCTCCAGCCTGCGGTTTCTTATCTGTAAAACCAGAGGGGCGGGTGGGATCAGCCCGCTAAAGGCTGGAATCTCCGGGAAAATCCTCCTTAAATCCGCGTTCTGGTGCGTGCAGGAGGAAGCAGGGAAGGGAGGGGAAATCTCGTGGGCCGTTCAGCATCCCCCTCTCCTGCTCCCTGAGGAAACGAAGCCGCCACCGGACCGGAGCAGAGCACGGGGAGGGAGGGCACCGAGGCCTGCCAGGCGGTGGCGCCGGCGGGAGGCGCGGTCCGGCCGGCCCATTTGAGCCACGTGCGGTTGTTTCTGTGCCGGGGCGGTCACGTGAGCCGCGTCAGCTGACCGGTCACGGCGACTCAGGCGCCCCGCAGCCCTTGCCCGGCTGCGCCCGGAGCGCGGGACCCTGC